GCCACTCCGCAGGGTTGGCCCCGTCGCGGATGACCGCCACGCCGCGGCTGATGAAACGGGAGTCGGTGACGACGTCCACCAGACCCCCAGCCAGGCTCACCGCTCGAAGCCCGTCGCGCCCCCCGCCTCCAGCTGGACTCCTCAGCCAGCTCTCGCAAGCAGCGGGTCGCTGGGGTGCGCGTTGGCTCCGTCCGTCCAGGCGCGCGCCCTGCCGATGGCCGGCTGATTCTGCGGGTCAGGAAGAATTGGCAGCGGCAGCGGCAGCCGGGCGTGCTCCGCGATCACTACCAGCCGCGGGTCCTGAGGCTCACCGGGGGTCTCCAGCGGCAGCCTCGCGCGGATCTCGTCCCGGTGCCCGCTCGCGAGTCCCAGGGCGGCGGCCCGGGTGGGCTCCCAGCACGGGCGTTGCCACAGGCGGTGCTCCAGGTCCTTTGGCGCCGCGCGGCAGTGAGGGCACAACTCGGACTGACCCCTCTCCGCGGTTACCGTCTCGGTCACCACGTTTCCTGAGATCACGGCGCGGAGCGCCCAGGCCGCATCAGGCGCGAGCGCGCCGCTGATCAGCAGCCGCCGCGTGGCCCATCGTCAATGCCAACCGCGACGTGCTGGAAGGCCACGCAACCTCTCCGCCAGCGAACGCGCTTCGCGCGTGGACCACGCTTCGGGCAGCACCGCGCGGGTGTCGAGCAGACTCTGGTCGGCGGGGCGCCAGCCCGCGGGGGCGGCGCTCACCCCAGTCCAGCACTCGACGTCCGCGCCCAGGTGCAGCTCCGCCAAGCTGCAAGCTCCGGAGGGCGGCGGGGATTGGCCCGAACCCGCGCCCGTGGCCTGCGCCGAGGGCCGCCGCGGCGTCCCGCCGCACCTGCACGGGGAGACGGCGGGATCGGAGCGCCTTGGCGGCCTGCCAGAGCGACGCCATGACAGCGACCGCCGCCGGGTCCAGCCGCCAGCTCGGCGCCAGCACCCCGAAGACGACCTCGGCGGCCGCCCGCGTGCCACCGCGGCACACCGCTTGTCGCGCCGCCGTGCGGAGACAGGCCAGCTCCCGCGCCAGGGGCGAAGGCCGCACATGCCGCGACGCACAGGCCGGCAGCCGTCCCTGCGGCAGCGCCCAGCCAGCACCGCACGTCGAAGCCGACGGGCAGCTTGCCCAGCCTGTGGCCACGCGCACACCGACGGGCCTTCCCAGGCCCCCTCGCGTCGTGAAGAAATCACGACGTGAGGTTGTTTCGTCATTTTCGGTCTCCGGGGGGCCTCGCCGGGCCTCGGGACCGTCGAAAAACGACTCGGGATGAGAAGCTGGTCGCGGGGGTAGGTCGAAACCTCTGGGGCAGACGCAATGAAAAAATCATGACGTCGGGGGTCTGGGTTGCCAGCGGTGGCGGCCACGCCCACGACACGGACTTTTGTGCTCCCCGAGAGCTTTGGGCGTCTGGTCCGCCAGCCAACGCCAGAACACCGCGCGAGTAGCAAACGGGCGCGACTTCGTCCGGGTCAGCTTCCAATCCATGGCCGCCTCCAGTGCCTCTGTGACCTGCAGCGCTTGCTGGAGCTCGTCAGCTGCGTCGCCGCAGGCCTCGGCCGCGACCCGGGCCCAGAGTGTGGAGCCGTCGACGTACACCCCGCGGCGGAGGCGGTCGCTGACGCGGCCATCCATGGCCGCGTCAGGACTCCGAGCAAGAACATCGCCAGTGGGCAGCCCGGCAGAAGGCCGCGCTTGGGCGCCCATGGCGAGCCGATAGCCCAGCCGACTCGCACCCGGCGACTCGCGGAGTAAGCCGCCTGCGCGGGCCCAACGACCCAGGGCGGGACCCTTGCTCGAGCTAGCATCGGCGTCACCCCAGCATGCTTAACTATACTATATGTGCGTCGCCTTCCCAGGGGCGACGCGCGCACCGAGAAATCTTAGTATATGCGTCGTGGCAGGCGCTTTTTGTCCACACCGCTCATGGAACGATGTACTGCAAGATGGGTATACTATATGTTCGGGTCGGACGCGCGCCTCCAAGGAGGACATATCGTATTTACATGTCCCTGCGCGTCCCATAACACGACTGGCACCGTACTCAGGTCCCTCTGGTCGTAGGCGTTGCGCCAATCCGGAGCAGCGCCCACCATCTCTTCGGAGAGGGCGCTGGCCGCCTCCAGATCTAGGGCGAGCTCCCACGCGAGGTCCTCCGCGCCGCGCCGCTGATTGTCGCCTTCCCACTGGCACCGCCACCGGGCAAAGAGGCGACCCTGGCCAGCAGCCCAGAGCCTGCATAGGACGGGCAACAACCAGATGGGCTGTCGCTCCAGGGGATCCTCGCCGCCACCCGGCTTGGGCAGCAGGAGGCCCTCGGGCCCAACGAGCCCCCGGGGCCACGTGCCCTGAGCCTCCACCTGCTCAGAAGGGGTCTGCGATCCACGAGTGCAGCTCTACCGGCAACAGCCGGAGCTCCAGGACCAATCCTGCGGACCATGCGTCAAGCCCCGGCCTCTTACGGTTGGGGTTGGGCATGCGCCGTATAGAGCGAGCCGATCGACCCAGCCGTCCATGGCGCCCGCTCGGGGAAGGCCAGCAGCCCGTCCAGTTCCTGCAACCATTCCTCGGCGATTGGCGGGCCTCGCGCACGCTGCCAGATCTGCCTTCACGGGCCCTCGTAGAAGCGCGGCCGCGCCGCGGGGCCGCCCTGCAAGGCCAACAGGCTTTGCCGGCTGCCTGGGGTGTGGGCCTCAGCCCCAGCATCGCCGGCAGCAGGCACGAGCTCGGCATCAGGGCTGCCGCCGCGGCGAATCCAGGGGTACAGCCTGCCCCCGCCGTTCGCGAGTGACTCCTCCACCCAGCGTCGCCACTTTGTCTGCCGCCTCCCGCGCACCGCAGCACTCGCGCCCCGTCACGCAGCCTCGGCGCGCGCCAGGAGCGCGGCCGGGAGGTTCTGTCGGGCTGCAAGGCGGCCAGCCCCTGGGCCCCGTCCGCGTTCGCGGCGTCGGCGGCCCGCGACGCCCGCAAGGCCGCATCAGCCATCTGCCTCGCGGTGTCCGCGTTGCGCCGCTGAGCAAGGGCTCCCTCGAGGGCGCGAAGTTATTCGCGCTTCGCGCTTCGCGGTCCTCGTTCCTTCTCCCCCTCCTCCTCGTCCTCCTATTCTCCCTTTGGGAGGGCGGCGCGAGAGCGCGAAGTTATTCGCGCTTCGCGCAGCGCGAAGCGCGAAGTTGGGAGCCCTAGGAGACGCCGGACGCGCAGCAGGGCTGCGTCAGCAGCGGCATCGGCAGCCTCCCGCCCCCGGCAGCGGGAGGCCGTTCGGCTCTCACGGCTGCTGCAGAGTGCGGCCGCTATGGGATGGCCGCACTGCCCAGGCCTGCAATGCTGCGCGGAACGCCCCTTCGTGGTGCGTCCGTGCGAGGGCCGTGGCGTCCCTTGCCGCCTGCGCTGACCAGCCTTCCACCGCGGGGCCGTCCAGGACCGGCACGCGCTCGCGGAGCAGCGCCCGCTCGGGACGCGGCGCGACGCGCAGCTCCACCACGAGGGCTGCGTGTGTGGCCAGGCCGAGGTCTCATCGGAGCCGCACCGACTGGACGGCGTCAATAGTGGCAGGGCTGGCGAGCACGTGGTCCGTGCGGGATGGGGCGCCGTGGGAAGGCAAGCAAGTGTGCTCTGTTGTCGCCAAGAGGTCCCTCCATCCCGCCAAGGCTAAGAGTCCACCGAGCCCAGAACTGACCAAGTGGAAGTTCAGGTCGCCCACCAGGAACGCCTGGACGTCCCAAAAGACCGCAGAGCAATTCCACGGCCTCCAATTCGAGCTCGGCGTTCCGCTCCTCGTCCTCACGGCCTCCTGGATAGCCGTAACATTGTGGAAGTCGATGAATGGCGAGGAAGCATGTTGCCAAATAAGTTCCAAATGTCTAAGAGATGTTTCACATCTGTTTCAAAAATGTTTTCAAAACATGATTGAAACATGGTTACAACATGTGTTACACATGTTCAACAAATCTTTTTTTGCCAAACACAGGATTGTTAGAGTGTCCATTGTGGTGGCAGCCACCACCGCGACAGTTCACGAAGTGAACTTCTCTCGCAACCCCCAAGATGCAGGGCGAGGTGTTGCCGGCGCCCTGGGTGCCTCCCCGAGACTCCTCGTGGCGCTGCGCGCGCGCGCCGAGCGGCGCCGCGGGCGGCATGCAGCTGCGAGCAGGTGCACCCCCTCGTGCATCGGGCCGAGGTTTGGAGGTGGATAGACCTCCCACCCTGACACGTCGACTGGTGAATTGGCCCTTTTCGGTTCGCGAGAGGGCGTCGCGGCCGTTCTTCTTGCGGGTGCAGGTCCGTTGGTTTCGGTCCTGGGTCGTTTTCCCTGAAGGGAGGTGTACTAAAGGGAGGTTTGTCCACCGCCGAGCCTGAGGTGCAATTGCATGCCACGCGCCCGGGCCCCCGCCTCGGCAGCTGGCGCATCCAGCGCTGGGATCCGCGCCTCCTGCACGCACCACGCGTCGGCCTCGGTGGCCAGCAGGCCCTTCCAGCTGGCGCTCCACCGCGTAGCGTTCGCAAGCACCACCGTGGCTGTCTCCCACAGGTGGACACTCCCTGCTCCGCACGAGGGCGGTGGTGCCGCCTCTCCTGGTTTCTGCGCGAGAGTTTCGTCACACATTTCGTGTTTTGCTACCCCGCTTTGAGACTATCATCTCATCGCGTCCCCTTGTTCTGTGCGCCGTTGGGCGTGCTCACGACTTGCGCAATCTGCCTCCTCCAGACTGTGCTCTCTCTCACGTGCCTTTGTGGCGCCTGCAGTGTGCTGCCGAGCCACTGGAGGCACAGGTTTAGGTATCTCTTGTTCCCAGATGGGGAAGCGTGAACAACCACCACCCGTGCTCCCCCGACCTCTTCCTTGGGCGCGCTCTGACCAGGATTCCAAGGCGAATCCGGCGGTGGCAGCCGGGGTCTTTCGGGAAGCGCGTGCGGCGAGGGCGGAAACGAGGAAGGATGCCGACGTCGTCGTCGGTTCGTTCTCCTCATCGGACCCGAG